TTTGTCCTCTCCCTTTATTCCAAATATACTTCATTAATTCATATATTTGTCCTCTCCCTTTATTCCAAATATACTTCATTAATTCATATATTTGACCTTTGCTGATGTCAATAGGGTTTATCAGGTCATTTTTCAATCATGGAGTTCATTGAAGGAGGAACAAAAGGAACTGGGGGAACAGGGGGCACAGGAGGAACAGGGGAACACAGAAACAGGAGGAAGAGGTGGAATAGGAGGAACAGAGATAGAGGAGGAACAAGTGAAACAGGAGAAACAGGAGGAACAGAGAAACAGGAGGAACGGGAAGAACGGAGAAACAGGAGGAACGGGAGGAACTGGAGGACCAGGAGGAACAGGAACTGAATTAACAGGAGAAACATAAAGAACAGAAGAAACAGGTGAAACAGGTAGAACAGGAGGAACAGAAGAATCATGGGAACAGTTAAAAACAGGGGGAACAGGAAAAACAGGTGGAACAGATGGAACAGGAGGAACAGGAGGAACAACAGTAATAGGAGGAACAAGTGAAACAGAAGGAACAGGAGAAACAGGAGGAAAAGGAGAAAAGGAGGAACAGAAGGAGCAAATGGAACAGGAGGCACAGAAGAAACTGGAGGAACAGGAGGAACAGGAAGAAAAGGATAAAAAGGGAGGAACAGGAGGAACAGAACAAATAGAAGGAGGAGCAATAGAGGAACAGGATTCAGGAGGAACAAAAAGGATAGATATAGATAATAGATAAATAAATATTGATTATAGATAAATAGATATAGATTATAGATATATAGATATAGATGTAAAATAGCATAAAGATCACTAATGAAAAGAGTTGAACTTATTTCACGAAATGAACAATCAACATTCAACACTTTGTCTAGAACTGAGAGGGGGGATAGATGATTGGATAAATAAATAGATAGATAGATAGATAGATAGATAGATAGATAGATAGATAAATAGATAGATAGATAGAGAGATAATGAGCTGAAGACAATATGTCCATGTTCAGAATTAATCTCATCTTGTGCCAAATTTTTGTGTGTTCTGACCCTCGTACAATAGAGGGGACAGAGGGGAGCATACCGAAACCTTTACTATATTGAGGGATTCCCGGGGAAGGGGGTTATAATAAAGGAGAAGTAGGTGGGATATTTTAATTTTGTGAAAATTCTATAATTAAATCATTGGATTAAAGAGGAGTCTCCTATATAACTCTCTGAAACAATTGCAGGTAAAATCTGTTTTGTTAACTAAATAAGAAAATATCTTGTATTGTACTGCTCATTGTACACAATTTGATTTTATATGTACACAAGAAGAGATGCATACTTAAGGATTGCAAACTGTTTAGTTTTTTTATATAGCTCTTCCGAAAATGTAGTTATGATTGAAACCATGCAGTTTTTTTATATGAATTGAAATTTATTATAGTTTAACATGTAGTAGACAAAAATAATTTACATTGCAGACTTAGCGAGAGAGAGATCCTGTATGTAGGCATAAAGGGGGAATGTTTAAGGGTCCAAGGGGTATTATATATTGTAGAGGGATAATCCTGCTGAAAGCTCGGAATTCTGGGAAAACTGGAAAAACTTGCAAAATATTGCATAATTCAACTATTTGATGACCAAAGCCAGTTTTTCTAAGTTTAGTTCTGTTTGTCCGGCCCCCTCCTCCTCCCTCAACTATTATTCATTATTCTGAATAAAATTTTGGACAATTATATAATATTTGACCATCTGCATATACACTAGTTCCCACACGTACAGGTCTCCATGTATGTTTACAGCCATTCGGAACATGTAACCCAAACCTTTACTGTTTATAAGTAATCATAAGATGTCAATCTGAAACTTGAACCTTGAACTTAGGTTTTTGACCCCCCTAGCTCCATCTCCTTAACATATATCCTTCCTCCACTGTTTTGACCCCCTAGCTCCATCTCCTTAACATATATCCTTCCTCCACTGTAAACTAGACAGAAAGAGCCTTGGTAAAATTTATGCGACATCACTTGTACGACTTTATGATCTCGTAGTTCCTACAGATTTTTTTTGACGCACAGTCTGAGATAAGCTAATGTATTCGGTTTCATCTTGGAAGTTTAAAATATTTTGTGCTGAAGTTAAATCTACTTTAGTTTGACGTGCCTCGTCTCGTTTTCATAAGGGAAGTTTAAAATATTTTGTTCTGAAGTTCAATTAACTTTAGTTTGACGTGCCTCGTCTCGTTTTGATAATGAAAGTTTAAAATATTTTATTCTGAAGCTCAATCTACTTTAGTTTGACGTGCCTCGTCTCGTGTTCGTCAACACTTAATCTCTTATTTTATTTTTATTTTCATTCCAAGCTAAATTTCTTTTATTAATCGGAACTATTTTTCGGCCACCAAAAAAAACGGCCCGCCTTATTGTACTTTTAAAAGACCCCCTTTCCGAGAAACATTAATTTATAATTTTGTCCTCTCCCTTTATTCCAAATATACTTCATTAATTCATATATTTGTCCTCTCCCTTTATTCCAAATATACTTCATTAATTCATATATTTGACCTTTGCTGATGTCAATAGGGTTTATCAGGTCATTTTTCAATCATGGAGTTCATTGAAGGAGGAACAAAAGGAACTGGGGGAACAGGGGGCACAGGAGGAACAGGGGAACACAGAAACAGGAGGAAGAGGTGGAATAGGAGGAACAGAGATAGAGGAGGAACAAGTGAAACAGGAGAAACAGGAGGAACAGAGAAACAGGAGGAACGGGAAGAACGGAGAAACAGGAGGAACGGGAGGAACTGGAGGACCAGGAGGAACAGGAACTGAATTAACAGGAGAAACATAAAGAACAGAAGAAACAGGTGAAACAGGTAGAACAGGAGGAACAGAAGAATCATGGGAACAGTTAAAAACAGGGGGAACAGGAAAAACAGGTGGAACAGATGGAACAGGAGGAACAGGAGGAACAACAGTAATAGGAGGAACAAGTGAAACAGAAGGAACAGGAGAAACAGGAGGAAAAGGAGAAAAGGAGGAACAGAAGGAGCAAATGGAACAGGAGGCACAGAAGAAACTGGAGGAACAGGAGGAACAGGAAGAAAAGGATAAAAAGGGAGGAACAGGAGGAACAGAACAAATAGAAGGAGGAGCAATAGAGGAACAGGATTCAGGAGGAACAAAAAGGATAGATATAGATAATAGATAAATAAATATTGATTATAGATAAATAGATATAGATTATAGATATATAGATATAGATGTAAAATAGCATAAAGATCACTAATGAAAAGAGTTGAACTTATTTCACGAAATGAACAATCAACATTCAACACTTTGTCTAGAACTGAGAGGGGGGCAGGCGGGATGTGGGGGGGGTTGCTATTACCAATTGTGAAGGAGAGGGGGTTATACACTACAGAAGTGAAGGGGGGGGGGGGATATATAGACCACATATTACAGTTTGAGTACTGTTCCTTGAGAACTATGACCAGATGTTGTCAGAATTTGGTCAGAATTTACTCCGATCTTCCAGTTCTCAGGGTACTTCATAGTTTAACCCAATCCTTAGGGTATCTCAGGGGGAGAACTAGCACACTATTAATTAAACTCTGTTCCTTATACACACACACACAACAAAAACATACACAAACACACAAATCCTTAAACTTAAAGCCATAAGTCAGAGTAAATAATAGAGGAAAAGAAAATAATTAGAATTTATTGATATTTCTTCAGAGTATATGTCTTACAATGATAATATGTTTTGGGATAATTTAAACTTTTGTTCCGCAAACGGAGGAATGAAGAGAACCAGGAACTCTGAAATCCTAGATGATGAGGGAGGGATGAAGAGAAGCAGGAACCCTGAAATACCTAAATGATGAGGGAGGGATGAAGAGAAGCAGGAACCCCGAAATCCTAGATGATGAGGGAGGGATGAAGAGAATCAGGAACTCTGAAATCCTAGATGATGAGGGAGGGATGAAGAGAACCAGGAACCCTGAAATACCTAGATGATGAGGGAGGGGGGAAGAGAAGCAGGAACCCTGAAATACCTAGATAATGAGGGAGGTAGGAAGAGAACCAGGAACCCTGAAATATCTAGATGATAAGGGAGGGATGAAGAGAAGCAGGAACCCTGAAATACCCAGGATATGAAAGGAAATGACCAGAAGGGGAGAGAAGGCTGGGAAAGTCAGTTAAAGGAAGAGGAACCAAAATACCTGCAGATCGACAGGGTTACACAAAAATGATGAAAATTACTCAACACCTATTATTCTCCTAGACAATGTTTTGAGTATAATAGATCGCAAATAAATCTGAAAATATTAATCTCTATTGCCCTCACCTTAGTTGACTTCTGTTCTCTGCATGAAACCTTTCAAGTTTAATTGACGGAGAAATAAAAATCTAATAAATCTCATGAAATATTTATTTTCTCACAAACCCCTCAATACAAAAGAGTTTCTCACACAAAAAAGTTTTGATTAGACAAAAATTCCCCAACCCCCCGTACCTTGATCCCTGACAACAATTCCCCCTAAACCCGCCGTAAATAAGGTCATGAAACAACATTTTAAGTTTAAAATTTATGCTTTTTATATAATTCTTTATATTTATTTTCCTTTTTTGGTTCTTTCTATAGAGGGATGAAACAGGACTAGGATAGGAATACCTCAGGAATATAGGATAAAAATACACCAGGACTAGGACAGGGATACACTAGGACTAGGATGGAGATACACTAGTACTAGGATAGGTATACACCAGGACTAAGATAGGTATACACTAGGACTAGGATAGGAATTCCCCAGGACTATAGGATTAAAATACACCAGGACTAGGATAGTTATACACTAGGACTAGGATATGTATACACTGGACTAGGATAGGGATGCACTAGGACTAGGATAAGGATACACCAGGACTAGGATAGGGATACACCAGGACAAGGATAGGGATACACCAGGACTAGGATAGGGATACACCAGAACCAGGATAAGGATAAGGATAAACCAGTACACGGATGAATGGGTTGAGGACAGGTGAGAGAATAAACCAATATTAATTACCCTACAAACACTGCTCTCTGTGACTTAACATCCGGTTTTAACCATGCATGACACCCCCCTGCTACCCCCCTCCCCCCCAATTATCCATAATTATAACACCTCTATTCAATCCTGTACATTCCTTTATTCATGATAATACACCTTTTTAGTTTTTGCATATAAACAGATATAGCTACGTTCTACATATTTAGATCAAAAATGTCAAAAACTAAATAGAGTATTTGTAACAAGTGGTGCTTTATTTCATGATATTTTAATGAATGTTAAAGGAAGTACTTGATTATATATCGAAAGTTGTATGTACTCCTGAAGTAGGTGTATTGAAAGTTATATATACTCCTGGAGTAGAGATATGGAGAGGTAAATATACTCCTGAGCAGAGATATTGAAAGGTTTATATACTCCTGAGTATAGATATTGAAAGGTTTATAAACTCCTGGAGAGGGATATTGAGAGTTATATACTCCTGAAGTAGGAATATTGAGAGGTATATAAAATCCAGGAGTAGGGATATTGAGAGTTATATATACTCCGGGAGTAGGGATATTGAGAGTTATATACTCCTGAAGTAGGGATATTGAGAGGTATATACTCCTGAAGTAGGGATATTGAGAGGTATATATACTCCGGGAGTAGGGATATTGAGAGGTATATATACTCCAGGAGTAGGGATATTGA